TATATATATATATATATATATATATATATATATATATATATATATATATATATATATATATATATATATATATTATATATATATATTGTACGTATATATTATATTATACATATACATACATACGCACACACACACACATACATATATATATATATACATACATACTCACACACACACACACATATATATATATACATACATACTCACACACACACACATATATATATATATATATATATATATATATATATATATGAGTACGGCTGAATTATCAGTTGAATATTAGGTGTTTGATTTTTTGCCCAAATATTCCTTGCCAAATTATAGGTCCGTGTGTTATATAGCAGGGAATATGGTATCTTGAAATTATTCTTAGCCTTACTGTGTTTTATCTGGAAAAATCTACAACCATTTTCAAGTTTTTTTTTGGTTTTTTGGTTTTTTAATTAGCAGTCGTTTTCTGTGAATCTATTGCTCTATTTGTATAGTATTAATTTAAAATGATTTTGCCAGGGCACATTTTCAAAACAGAAGTATCTTTAAAAATATAATGTTTAAAAACCTGCAAAATTACACCTTTTCCTAGAGAATGAATCAAAACTTTAGTCGAAAAAGAAAGGATTATTAACGAAAAAAATATAATAGTCCAAAATATGATTACATTTCATAAAATAAAATTCAAATTTTCATTTGTCGTAATTTGAATTGACAACGCTTCGCTTTCGAGTTAATTGTAAAGAACAGATAAATTTCTATATTTTCAATTTAAGAATAGGAAAGACTGGACATAAAGGAATCCGTGCATAACGATTAAAATAATAAATTCACATTAGTATGCCGTTTGTAATTCCTTTTCGCTGCAATTATGGGTATTAAATGCTGCCATCTCTTTCGCTGTGATCATGGGTATTAAATATCTATAAAGTAATGAACCAAAAAAAAATAAAAAATAAAACAAGAAAAAACGCAAATCTTGCTTTCGTTATTTCTCCAAAATCAAAGAATTTCTGTCAGTCTTTTGAATTTTTCTTATCTCATATTGTAAAATTTACATATCAATGCTTCCGTGGAAATTTCATCTTTTACTTAACCTTTCTTTCTTTCTTTCTTTCTTTCTGTCTGTCTTACTCTACGATGTCATTTGTTATTTTTTATCTCAATTTATCTATTTCTTGAACCATCTATCATTCATTCATTCATTCTTTTTTCTATTTTGATTCATTTCTCGTTCATTCTTTATTTTTCTTTATTTTTCTTCCTTCCTTCATTTCTAATTCTTTCTTTTTCGGTTCATTTCTCGTTCATTCATTCTTTCTTTCTATTTTAATCCATTTCTCTTATTTTTTTCTTGTTTCATTTCTCTTTCTTTTTTTTATTCTTTCTTTCTTTTTTTATTATTCTTTCTTTATATTCTTCCTTTCTTTTTTTATTCTTTCTTTCTTTCTTTTATCAATCTTTATTTCTTTTTATTCTTTGTTTCTTTCTCGTTCATTTCTCTTTACTTTCGCACATTTTCTTACTCTCCAAATGGTTTTCAGAATGTCGTGGCTTTCTTTTTCATTTTCTTTTCTTTTACATTACTCCTCCACTTCCTCTTCCTTCGCATTTCTCTTCCTCCTCCTTCAACGTTGTCATCATTTCATCTCGTTCAAACCTTTACTTTATATATATATATATATATATATATATATATATATATATATATATATATATATATTTTTTTATTCTCTTCTCCTTTTTTCTCCCCCTTCTTTCTCTCATTTCTTCTCATGGAATTTTCAAGATTTATTTAAAATTTTTATTTTCTTTTTCTTTTCCATTATTTCTAATTTACAATCCTTCATCACCAATGTTTGCTTTTTTTTCCCAGTACCTTTCTCTCTATATCTCTTATCCTCTGTTTTCTTTAACTTCTTTTATTCCCTGTTGGTTTCTGAACAGGATTTCCATAAAAAAAAAAAAACGAGACAAATATTTTCATGATCTCTGCTGTCAACGGAGCAAGTCTTCAAATGTCAGTCATTACGTTCAAATAATCTCCAACTCTCTATTCTAAATTATTTTGAATACATTGCTTTTTTCATTTTATCTATATATTTATTGGTTTGGTTTGGTTATTATTTAGCGACATATCAACACCTCTATGGGTTATTTAATGCCGGAATCTAAATATTTTGTACGCAATTTTACTTTATTTTTGTTAGATAATAATTATTGATGCAAGTCTTACTAATTAACCCATAGCTAGGGGAAGAAGAGGTAGATCCATACCTTTCCCAGGGGGATTTGCGCGTAGGTGAATATAACGAACCCAACTGGAATTGAAACACGGTTCTCCAATTAACAATTCCGAGCCATTATCCATCATAACACCCGAAGATACAAGTTTACAGTAACTGGTTTTCCCAATCAGTCAGCCATCTAAGTACTGACCCGGCTCGACGTTGCTTAACTTCGTTGATTGTACGGGAACCGCTGTTTCAACGTAATGTGGTCGTAAGCTTCTTATTTATTTTATAATGGACTGAGTGATCATAATATTAATGGCAGTTAGTAAGAAACTATGGTTTCAATATTTAACTGGTATCTTTATTCAAAAGGCTGGACACTGAAAAAATTATATTCTCCTTTTATTTTCTTTATAAAGCTGTGGAGAGAAAGGATATATCCCGAAAAGTCACATTATATATATTATATAAAATATATATATATATTATATATATATTATATAAAAGTATAGTACGAAGTGATATATTCTTAAGTTGTTTGAAGATAACAGCCGATATTATCCAACTTGTTGAGGGGAGCGAAAATATTATCATTTTATGTCTCCAGGTACATTTGTCCCGCCAAAAATATTCGGCAGCAAGGTCTCTGATTGGATGATTTGGGGAGCGTGGAACCACCTCTTAATTGCTTTTGATCCTAATTCCACCATGACCAGGGGTGGTAGAATTTGGTAACGATGGGAAAATAGTTTTAACCCTCAAACTGGGGTCAAAACTCTATGAAAATATAAAAAATAGATTTTTATAATTAAACTCTAGCAATACATTTTTGAAAAAAAAAAAAATATTACCAGCAAAGCATTTGACTTTCAACAAAAAATACTCTTTACAAAAATACGTCAATTAAACCTGATCTATTATCTGATTTCTTACAAAGAATACATATTCTATTCATACGAACCTATCCTAAAAATTTTGTTGGCATTAAATAACCCATTGAGGTTGATATGCCGTAATGTTTTAGGCGTGTGTTTATCCTCAACGCTAACACATCTAACAAAAATTACACAAAATTCATAATCCTGCCCTCCAACATAGTTTCTACTAAACTCGCAATCAAATCAGTTATCCTTAATACTAGAATCGTTACCATTACGTTCAAGACAACCGGACATATAATTAGGAATAAAAATAAACCCTACACAAATTCAAATGCCGGGATTTATCAAATAAATTATTTACAATGCAAAAATGTTTCTCTGGGGTGAAACATCACCTGATCTAAAAGTCCGCATCTACGAACATAAGAGAGACTTGCATTTGGACAAACGATCTAACTCTCTCGGAACGATGCTGGGCATAACTTTGATTTCACTAATGCAACCCTAATTAAAAGAGAACATAATTCTTTAAAGAGAAAATACATTGAAAATTAATGATAACATTATTACCAACTATAAACACACGGTTAAAATATTACATTACATCATCATCTTTCTTTGAATCCATTCTTAAAGAAGCTAACTTATATCTATCTAAAACAAAAAAAATACCTTCTGAAATAGGTCAACCATAAATTAGAAACTTGACATCACGCTGCGCGGGTTGACCGCACAAAGGTGAAGATAAAATTCCCACTAGATACACACACATAATTACAAATGCACGTTAACATCCAATGGCCACTTAGACATACAAGAATCTTCACAAAGCTATATAAACATAGCATTATCCATGGTTCTAAGACACGTGACTCGTATCTAACCAGTGAGAACTTACCCAACCATAACTGAAAATACCAGTATTTCTGTCTTTTGCCTGTTTTCTCTCAATCTCTGACAAAGCTTTAATAAAAGTGAAACATGTTATGATAGATATACGTTTCCTATTTGTTCTTTATTTTATCATATATATATATATATATATATATATGTGTGTGTGTGTGTGTGTGTGTGTGTGTGTGTGTGTGTGTGTGTGTGTGTGTGTATGTATGTATCGATGCATTAATGAAAAGTTATGCTCAGCATCGTTTCGAGAGAGTTAGATTGTTTGCCAAATGTAAGTCTCTCTTGTGTTCGTAGATGCGGGCTTATATATATATATATATATATATATATAACGTTTATAGTAATAAGAAATTGCAGTGACAGGGTTCGAACCCTCGTCCCTCTTAAACTGTGGAAGGAGAAACAGTGAACATCTTCGATCACCGAGTTGTTTAAAGTACACCGGAGTTTTTTGGGTTTTTTTCGGGGAGCGTTCGAGCCCTGCCGGGTGGCATATCCTCTTTATTAAAACTGTCAAATGCTCAGGCTGGTCGACACAAATTTACACTGTTTAAAAAACCAGGCTGTTTATTAAAATACGTGTATCCACTAGATATAAAGTTTAAAGTAATACTATATAATATAATATAAATATAATAGGTAGGGTTACTTAATGCCGACAAGATTTTTATTGCTGATAATATTTCTTTCAAAAATTTATTGCTGGTAATATTTATTTTCTTCAAAAATGTATTGCTGGTAATAATTTTTCCTAAAAAAATGTATCGCTGGTATTAAAACCTATTTTTACACTTTCATAGTTTTTGACTCCAGATTAGGAGCCCATAGTTGGGACCTTAACAGATGCTATCACCCCGGGTCAAGGTGGACCTGGGAACACTAGCAATTAATAGGTGATCAAAGGCCTTGCTGTTGGATGTAGTTTATCGTCTTACCCAGGACGCGGATGTAGTTTATCGTTATATAATAGGTAATATAATATAATATAAATTTAATATAATATAATAGGTAATATAATATAATATAAATATAATATAAATATAATATAAATAAAATAGGTAATATTAATATAATAGGTAATATAACTACATAGTTAAAAAAATGACCAGTGACAATATCGGTTGGTTAATACAAATTTTATTTTGAAAACATTGACTTGAATAATAAAACCCGACATCGCGCAGGTGAGAATATAGGATTATTCTAATCTTGGATATTCAGATCTCGTGTGAATTGTTGGTAATTCTACTGGGTCACCTATTATGAAAGTCAGTAAAATTGCCGATGTATACTGCTAAGAAATGTAATTGATTCAATACTCTTACTTTAGTAAGCATATTCTTCCCACTACCATCTCTCTTTAATATTATTTTACTTTTTATTCTTGAAGAAATTCAGTCTCTTATTTGATTTGAGTGACTCCTTTGACATGATTTTGTCTTTACGCTCCTCCACATTAGAGAGTTCTTCGTAACCTACTGTCAAATCTTAAAAGGGTCAATTGGAGAGTGTATAAAAAACGAACGACACCGTAACTTCTTCCCTAAGTCATAGAAAAGGGAATAATACACGAATTGCTCACATGATAAATACTTTAATGTTGATTTATTATCTCGGATCTTTTCTCTTAATTCACCCCCCAAATATTAATTCACTCCCGAATAAAAAAGAATTGAGATTTACTAAAATTCACATCAAATTCTACCAGAGGGACTTCCATTGTAATCCGGTTGGGTTGACGTTTGCGATCGCCCCAAATGTGGGCGACTCAGGTAAGTTATTTCTAAATGTGGGGGTCTAAGCAAGCCAAAAACAGATTTTTATTTATTTATTTTTTGTAAAATATTCCTTTTAAGTACCTCGAATATCATCTGCACGTAATAAATGTCAACAAAAGATCCTAATTTGGGGTATTTTTTTCATTCTGAAGGTTGGAGGTGTTCCGAGGCAAAATTTATAATCTCAAAAGAGTGCCAAAAATTTAATGAAAAACAAACTTTGAAATTTTAAATTTACAATTTCTTGGGATAAATAAATATTTGCGATAAGTAACTTTACATTATTTGGGGTGAATTAACAGAAACGATCTATCTCTCTTTCTTTCTCTCTCTCTTTTTCTCTTTCTCTTTCTCTCTTTCTTTCTCTAAGTCTCTCTTTTTGAGTTAGTGTCTTCGTATTTTAATAATATAATTTTTAATTAAATTACTCTATCAGTAACACCGGTTATGAGCAATTAATAACGTAAAAGAAAAACAAAATTAAAAAGCATGGCGATGTCAACGGGAAGCTACTCCACTGTTTTTCCCAACAAAGTAATTCATCGGTTATAAAGAAAGAAAGAAGGAACCCCTGGTAAGCCATGATCGCCTATGTCCTGAAGGGACATAGCATATAAAAAAAATACTTTTTTAAAAATAATTATGATGACTAATTTCATAAAACAGAAAACAATACAAATTCTTGACAAAATTATAAGATTAATATCCTTAATCGTAAAACCAGGATAATCCCAAAATAACATCTTTTTAAGTTCTCTTAAAATTGTTAAGCTAAGCCCAAGTCATAAGCGACTTACACGAACGGAAGAGAAAAGAAAGTTTGAATGTTAGACAAACTGAGCGCATTTTCTACCCGTTGCTATCTACATGCATTTTATGTAAACATAAACACGCTATTCAGTCTTTCGCGAACGTAGAACGATGCGAATCTAGCAATAAACAAAACAATCACAGAGAGACATTAAATACTCACCCTAATATGTCCTATCCGTACCCTGCGCCAAATGTAAACAAGTCAGCAGGCCCACAGACCAGCTTTCAACGTTCTGACGATACAGAAGCCGTAAACAGACACACATGGCAAATCTTAACATCTTTTTTTTTATATGTATCAGTACATGTGCAGCCCAGCTGTAAAAGTGTCTATTGATACCTTAACACCAAAATTTCTTCTTCTTCTTCTTCTCTCAAAACAGAAGGAAATTTTACGCCATCTTTATAGTTTTTCGTCAGGTTTTCTTCTTAAACGTTCTTCTTTAGGTTTTTCTTTCTTCTTCAAACATTTAATCTTTAGAATTAGGGGAATTTGTGGGAAGACTATATTGCGCCATAATTCGTAATTCCATGTATTTTTCAGGCAATTCCTGCTATTGTTGTTGACACAATTGTCACTGATGAAGGACTGACACGGGCTTTAATAACATCAAGAAAAGGAAAAAACAGATTCACTTGTTCAAAAATGTTAAGACAACACAAAGGTTATAGACAACACGCAATGCAGTTTCAACTGAATCCTTACTCAAGCTGTCCCTGATATTTAATAAGTTAAATAAGCAAGATTTATTATAGGGCCACAACAGAAAACACTGCATTGAAACTTTGTTAATCATCCCTGTACGGCTAGCACCTATTATTCTTCATATTTTTCTTTTTCCCTTCAGTGATGGATAACATCATCCAAAGGGAGACCACCTATCGAGTATGGAC